GAAAGGATTTACTGACCATGTTGCCAACTAGCTTTTGGAAAAGCCTGATATTTCAGGGTTGGTATTTATGAAAGAAATAATGACGGTAAACCTTCGAGCGTAGTTGTCGTTTGTTCGCTTCATCGTATAGTTAGAGATCATAATGGAATGAACATCTTCGATCGGATTAACTGTAGCTACGCTCACGGGTTGTCATTTGGAGGATATAGAATGCGGCAAATATCAACTCGTATTTGCCTCAGCAGAGAACATTTTGGTGAAGCCATTTTTTTCGTTGATGAAAAAAATACCCACACCGTTTCACCAGAGTTTTCCGGTTTGCATCAAATAAATTATGGCGGGTAAACCTTCGAGTGCAGTTGTTTGTTACTTCCAAGTATCGTTTACGATCAAATGGAAAAAAAAAATTGTCAAATAGATTAATGGCAGTCATACTCAAGGATTTTCGTTCAGAAAATCTAGAGTGCAGCAAAAATCAGCTCATATTTGTGACCGCGGAGGAGGTTTTGTCGATGCCATTTCTTTTCAGGCTGAAAAAAAAAACTGCCTCACCGTTTCACTTATTGGCTCTACGTATGTTTGTTTTTGTCAGAAGACAGTGCTTCCGGTTTTTAATTTAACTCATTTTGATTGGTTATCTGCTCATTTCTTCTCGCCCTTTCCCCACCCTCTACCCCCACCGTCCACTCTAACTCGAAATCAAATATGGCCGGTTGGATAAACAATCGCGAGCTTATAATGTTAGCTCGCTCTAATAAGTCGCCTGCACTGCAGGCTTCTTAACTTTAGGGGTGGTTTTATATAGTGCCATTCCGTACATGATTCGTCGGAGCTCAAGCCATATTTCGGTTTAATTACACATAACGCTGTGTATAACGAAAAGGGAGAGATACTGTCCTTATCTATACAATTACCCCACAAAGTTTGGAGATCTATTTAAACGCTTCTAATTTAAAAGAAAAAAGAAAACTAAGATTAAGTTATTTTCTGAAGTTTTATTTTGACAAATCCTAAAGTTACATGATTCTGTGCAAATACTGAACAACTCCTGAACCTCGTACCTTAATTTTACTTCAAATCGTACCACTTAAGTCAAAAGCAGAATCAAAGTTTCAATTCTTAAAAAAAAACGCTTTCAAACTTGTTAAATGAAGGAGGTCCAATAAGTACTTGTTAGTTATGTGATTATAATAAAGAAAAGGTTAACTTTGAAAAGTAAGACTTTACAACAATGTTAATTTTATCGAATCATTTAAGTGGGTGTCTTGTGAGGTCAGTTATTGTGTTCAGTAGCAAAATTGCAGTCTCGCATTCGTATTGCCACGCATTGAGCGTGGAAACATCGTAGGACGAGTTTGACGTGGTTTAAATGACATTACTTAATCTGATATGTGTTGCAAAAGCTGTACCGGATTCTCCAACTTGTATCAACCACAGGTCAACGAAATTTGGCTTAAGTCATTCCTGACACAGAATTCTGGAGAACAGAATACTTGTTATTATTATACTTAAAGAAGTAAATTGGTAAATCTATGCTACTAGCCCAATCTAAACTGTAACTGGTAACCATCCTTTGTGCGGGCCTTCGACGACCATTTGACACATCCTAACACTGTTCTACATAGAAATATCAGTCATTTGATTGTAATGTAATTGTGATGGCCGTGACTCAGTGTCACATCTAAATTACTTTAAATGAAGTACGTTTATGTTTGCATGATTCATCAGTAGATACAGGCCATGGTTATCACGGGAAACTGCGGCACTAACATGTTAGATATGTAAAACAATCGAAAATGACATAACTTACTAATTACGAATAGTTTAACGTTACTCCTTTTGAATTCAGGAACAAAGTTTTAAATTCGCTAAAGTGAATCACATGGTTCTGGATTCTCATCTGGGGTCTAGAGTTCTCTGCATTACCAGTAGACTGAGTATTCGTCGTCGCTATCGCCACAGATAAAATCATCGTCGCTATATCGAGAAAAGACTTCAAAACGGAGGAACTTATGAAAGTCTCGGATGTCTCTGCTCCTCTCTTCGTCTTCTTTCAGCTTTATCTCCTTGCACACCCTGCATTTCGGCTCTCCGTTTCTTAGCTGCGTATTACTGAATTCCTCTCGTGGAAACCGTCGCAAACATTTGATACATTCGGTATTGGCGTGCGGAAAATAAAGTTTCCCTTTCTCTGGGATTATATCGAGTGGAAGCAACGCATTCATATCGTAATCATCAAAGGACCTCACGGATTTCTGCCGATAGAGATCAGCGTATTTCTCAGATGCCACTCGGAGACGAGCCTCTTCTCTTTCTTTTACATCTTTCATCTTCTCGTACAACTTGAACATCGCCGTTGTATCCACGATGCAGTATTCCATCAATTCATCCGATAAGGGTCTTTTTTTCCAAACTCCATAGTCTTTCTTCATAAGAATTTTTCCCTCATTTTTCATCTTGATCAATTCATCATCCTGAACGTACAGCTCAAGACAGCGACGAAAACCATAGATGCTCTCTACTTCGTAGGGTCTGTGGCTCCGACGTGTGTACCCTGCGCTAGAAGGTTCGTGGCGAGTAGCTGTGTCATTCTCACGGCGGTAGAGGATTTCAAGCAGCTGAAGATCCAACACTCCCGTCAATTTTATGTTAAATTGATGCCACAGGGCGTCTGAATCTTCCCGACAATCAAACATCAGCTTCCCAATCGATTTATCTTCCAGGATTTCGCCAAAGCCAAAGGAAAAAACTGCTTGCTGTAGTTTGAGAACATCGAATATGTAGACTTTATCTTCCGTTGCGACTGTTATGATGGTGAGCGCTCCCTTCCTGCTCAGGTTAACACCTTCACAATCAACAGCTATAAAGCGAGAGTTATCGATAATTTCTCGTTTAAGCTCATGAAGAGCATCTTCGAGACCAGCTTCATCGTCGATCAGTCTGAAATCACTTGAGATCTTGCACGCCATTCTTGATTTCACTTGAATTTTTGCCCTGATTTGATGAAAGCCCGTCTTGCGAAAGGAGAGTACGACAGCTTTCTTGGAACCTCTCGAGTCATGAGTTCTGAGAAAATAATATTCATTTCCGCTGATTGTGATTCCTCCCTCCTCTCCCTTCTCCTGATGGCCATTGAATATGACAGATAGCTTCTGAGTGACAGAGGATCAGAGACAATCCTTTCATCGGCTCATTTGAATTTTTAGTTTAAACAAAGCTCATACCTGACAGCAAAGACGGAAAGTATCCCTTCCAAAAAGGACGGCTGTTAGAAAGCAAATCACAGGAGAAAAGAGACTCCTTAGGGCTCGCGGCACTTGACCTGGCCCGTTGTGTATTATTGATTCTACAAATTCTTGCTTTGAAAATACGTAACCGGCCCACTAGCTGTTAATAACGTTTGGCCTGTTTATGAACATTTTTAAAACGGGAGAACATTTTACCAAGAAATATCACCAATGATCATTGTACTTACTGCAAGAGGGAATGAGTTTGAGCCCTCGGTATCTTTCCTCAGCTCAAGTTTTTCTTAAGGCGTATGATTAAACACATCGAGGGCTATAGAGTCAACCTCTTGATTTCTTATAATTTGTCTCTTCACTAAACCGTAGTGAACGTGTTTTACCTAGTTACCCCACCCCCATCAAAGACGCATTTGGCAGAACGCTGCAGGGGTGGAGTGAGAAAACAAGGCCGGACAAAGCTGACCAATGAGAAACAAAGGTGGAGTTCCAAGAACTCATTAATATTAATGAACACTTTATACGAATGCACAATTGGCAGTTTTGTTGATTAAGCTTAGGAAAAAATCAATGCTTTGCTTATGTAAAACCAAACAGAATGGCCAGCAAGTATGATTATAAACTGGTTAATAACGATCCTGGTCTCAAAGTCGCCATATCCGAACTCAGACAGAAAATAGAGCATAACGCACTCTTAGCGGTTGATTGTGAAGGTGTTGATCTCAGCAGAAAAGGTACACTTACTATAATAACAGTTGCTACTGAGGAGAAAGTCTACATATTTGATGTTTTGGAGCTGGGAAAACGCGCGACAGTCCGAAGTGGACTTCGTGAAATCCTGGACAACGAGTCATGTACGAAGCTGATGTTTGATTGTCGGCAAGATTCAGATGCACTCTGGCATCAGTTGAATGTCAGGCTAACGGGAGTGTTGGATCTTCAGTTGCTTGAAATCCTTTGAGCTTGAGCTTTCCCGCACTAAGCATAAAACTCGAAGCCAGAGAACAGATGAAGTTGAAAGCATTTATGGTTTTCGTCGCTGCCTCGAGCTGTATCTAAAGGATGAAGATTTGCTTAAGATGAAGGATGAAGGAAGTAAATTGTTAAAGAGGGACACTGAAGTGTGGGAGAAAAGGCCTCTACCTGATAAGTTAATTCAGTACTGCATCGTAGATACAATGGCGATGTTCCGATTGTACGAGAATATGAAAGATGTGGAAGAAAGAGAGGGGGCTCGTCTACGCGTTGCCTCCGAGAAGTATGTTGATCTGTATCGAAACAAAACGACAAGATCTTTCGACGATTTCGAAACCAATGCATTGCTTCCACTCGACATCATCCCGGACGAAGGAACTCTTTCTTTTCCGCCTGCTGACACTAAATGTACTCGTTGCAAGAGACTATTTCCACGAGAAGAGTTCACCAAAACACAACTAAAGAATAATGAGCAGAAGTGCAGGGTATGTAAGGAAATAAAACGCCGAGCAGATGTACGACGAAAGAGAGAAGCGAATAGCCAGGATGACTTTCTTTATCGTGTGTAGTTATGTTATTGTTATTTTTGGTTCTTCTACTTCTAGCGAAAAGGTAAATTAAGCGTATAATTAATTTTTATAATTATCAGGAAGAACTAACTTAAATATCTTTAAATCATAAATAAGAAAATTGTACTGAAGAATCGAATACTAGAACTTGTCTTCACAATGAATTTAAGCATTCCCGTCGGTAGCATTTTTTAAAACCGCTGTTCACACGAAGTCAGTCAAGCGCTCGCTTAGAGACTCGAGCTTGGCATGTTTCGATGTTTTTTATTGAAGTCAGACAAATCGATTACGCTCTTAGTTAGTAAAGGGTCGCTAGTTTTATGGTTTCTATATTATATCCCATTTTTTTGGATTGCGCGTTTCCGAATGAACACGAATAATTTCTATAATTAGTGTGAGCTTTTCAGTTATATGAATAATCTCCATAAATAGTAGTGACTGCCGATGACTGCCTCTAAGGGAAGGTGACTTGCGCGGTGGTTCAAATTTGTTGCCTCGCCTAAAAATGCAAATATCCAGAAAGTACTGTATAAAGCTTGAAACATACGATTATATTTGTAGGTCTCATAGATATGGCGATAATTTTTCTAAGGTATCTCAAATGTCATCAATCATGATAACCAAAACAATGAAATGGCGTTTGATTTTGGGGTAAAAAAATAAATGACCTGTACTTGATAAAGCCTGGTAGCATTTGTTTCGCTTGTTGTGATTTGCGGTCATATGAAATGTTTAGTTATTAGTAATTATGTCGTCTGCACATAGAAATGAATGTTAGTAAGTATTCTGCCTTGTTCATCCGCCTTATGTATGCACATCGCGTTTTTACTTAGTGCAAGAACCCAAGTAGATGGGTATGTCTCGTCAAGGTCAATGCATTCCCTTGAGGTTCAACAGGCGTTTTAGTTTGAAAATAGGGGAGTTAGACCATGCTGGACTCCTTTCACTTTAACATTCATAATTACAACTCAAAATGCACAGTAGAGACAGATTGACATCTTCAAAATCAACGGGTAGAATTCTGTTTCATATTCTGTTTGAGTTTAGACATGGCAAAATTTCACTTTCAACTCCATGTAATTCTGCTCCACACCCAGCATCAATCAAGGCACCACGATATTCTGCAGTAGATCCAAACTACAACACTTTGCTTCTTATCATATGACCCAAGTGTAAGGCCATTCTTTAACGACAATCTCTGCACCTTTTTGTTAATATTGAGAGCATCCTTCTTCCTGCAAGCTCCCAACCCCCTCCTCCCCAATGTAAACAAAAGAAAAATGGCCGCCGGAAGTGAAAGTGGAAACTGATGAATTCTTGAAACTCGTTCACTCGACGAAGTGGTTTCAAGAAAGCTCGGATTCGCTCTAAACCTAAAAATAAGGTCTCAAAGAAGGTAGGCAGCAACCTTTTTGCTTGAGTGGAAATCGTGAACGACAAGCAAGATGAAAAATTACTACAAAGTTGTCGATGAACAGAGAAGTTTGAAGGATGCTATTTATAACCTCAAACGGAAATTAGAACATAATAGCTCACGGTTTATAGCTGTTGATTGTGAAGGAGTTTCTTTGAGTAGACATGGAGCACTTACAATTATAGCAGTCGCAACTGAGGAAGAAGTCTACATATTTGATGTCTATAAGTTGGGAAAGTTTACATTCAGTGGTGGACTGAGTCAAATCCTTGAAGACAAGTCGTGCACGAAGCTGATGTTTGATTGCCGAGAGGATTCAGATGCTCTCTGGCATCAGTTTAACGTAAGACTGACAGGTATTTTGGATTTGCAGCTCCTTGAAATCCTCTACCGTCGTGAAAACGACTCAGCGACTGGTCAGACCTTCTTCGGTGCGGGCCACTCTCATCGTAATCAAAGACCAAATGATCAAGTGGAGAGCATTTTCGGTTTTCGTCGCTGCCTTGAGCTGTACGTCGGTGATGAAAATTTAATCAAAATGAAGGATGAGGGAAGGTTTTTGTTGAAGAATGATGAAGAAATATGGAAGAAGAGACCTTTGTCAAATGAGTTAATACAATATTGTATTGTTGATACATTGGCCATGTTCAGTTTGTACGACAAGTTGAAGGGTATCTTACAAGGTGCTGATCAGATTCGCCTACGAATAGCATCCGAGAGATACGCTGATTTCGTTCGATGTAAAACCAAAAGGTATTTTGACGAATACGAGAAGAATGCACTTCTTCCTCTTAACATCATACCTGATAAAGGAAATGTTTATTTTCCCCGAGCTGATACAGCATGCACCTGCTGTCATAGGTTGTTTCCAAGAGATGAGTTCTGGTCGTCGGAACTCAGACGACGGGGGCAAAGATGCAGGGTGTGTAAGGAGGTTGCCCGTCGCGCAGGTCTAAGAATTCTCAGACACAACAGTTGGGCTCAGAACTGGAGATACAGGGGCATAGAACGGGTCGTCACCAAATCCTCGAAATTGGATCCTTCAAAAGGGAAGACTCCTTGTCATTTTGATGCCAAGGAAAGGACAACTTCCACAGAGTTGGATCCCAAGAAAGAAGAAAATCCCTGGAAATCTTGGGGGTGGATTTTGTTCATACTAGTTACCATTGTGGCAGCATTGTTACTGGTGGCAATATTTTAAGTCCAGATGTTTTGTGCTCAACAAAGGACTTATATGCAGGGGTACTCTCTCAATGTTGATACTGTGAACCTTAATAATCTGATGAATCTCTCCTAACTTTATTTGTCTCTGTTCTCAAGCTGATTCATGTTCTCTTTTCCGCTGAACAAAAGTATAAAAGAATGTTAACTCTTTAACTCCCAAGATCTGGTTGTTAATTCTCCTTTCTAGCTGCTACACATTTCCTCGCAAATTAGTTATGTGAATATGGTATTAGATCAAGACAACAGCTTCTAACTGATAAGTTTTGAGTATCATGACCTGTTTGCTGGATGATGTTTAGATATTACAGGCAGATGTTACATGTTAATCACTTTTGAGAGTTAAAGGGTTAAGTTCTCCTTGAATTTACAAACTTGTGTTTTGCTCAGGTTTACCATTTACCTTAATCCCCTTCTTCCCTTTATTTTTGTAAAGAAAATAGTTTGAACCAGGAACAAGCAGACAGTTGTATATTACCTGGTAAATAAAGAGACTGTGGCAGTTCTTGATGCCTTTGAAGCAAGATTTCTTATTTTCTAATTCATTTGCATGAAATTCTCTGATCAAATCTTTTCCCTCTAGAACAAATGTACCTAGCTGTAATGGTTGGCCATTACTCACTGTATTGTTTTAACCAGGCAGTTCTGACTGAAAGATAGAAGAATTCCTTGGGCTGCCACTAGAGTTGACCTTAATGATATTCTTTAAACATCCTAAGATCTTTAATGTTTGTTTTGGGATATATGTACAGTTGCTCAATATGAAATATTATTGAATGAACTTAGCTTAAATGTTGTGAGACGGGGATTCAGATGAGCTTGTTATGTACAAGGGTAAGACTACAGAACAAAGCAAACCAGTCAAGCTAAAAAATTGACCTTCCTATGCATTCCCTCCCACAACTTCAAGGGAAACTTGAAACAGATAGTTATGTGTCATAATCATCATCTTCATCTTCATGTTTTCGCTTAAGTGGAGTTATCAATGGTTGCTGGGTGCTGGCAACTGTTTCATCCATGCTTGGAAGCGCTGACACTGTGAGCATTGAAGCTGGGTTGCCTGTACTTTGAGAGGCTTTAGCTGCAGCTGGTACACCTGCGATAGGCTGACTTTTAGTGACAGTCACTCCTGGTTCAATTTTCACCTGAAGAGAAACACAAATAATTTTGTTGGATTTTCCTGACATCATCAAATATATCTTACAACTTGTCTGGTTAGCTTTTGAGTTTATCAATAAAGGGGGTAGGTTTCTAAAGAAACTGTGGTGCTGCCTCTGTGGGAGAGTGTATCAGGGTAATTTAGTATCGTCAACTGAGTTGATGACGTAAATTGGCCACAATAAAGAGTTTCAAAGCTGGCATTTCAAGCATTAGCCCTTTGTCAGAGCAAATAGAGGAAAACACACAACCCACAATTCCTCCATTCTCTCTGGCAAAGGGCTAACACTCAAAATGTCAAGCTTTGAAACTCTTTAGGGTGACCAATTTATGATATCAACTATGTTGATAATACCAAATTACCTTGTTAGTTTATGCCCTGCATAAGCTGAAGGATGTGAGACAAAGAGCCAGAAACAGTTTACTGATGGTTAGAAGTATTTGCTGAAAAAGCCAATTATGGAAGCATTTTAGCATAAGAAAGGATATACTATAAGCACATCAGATTAGATTCAAATTCGACCAAAATTTTTATTTTTTTAATCATGGACAGTCATTTTTACCAAATTTTCTTAATAATGTGGCAACTGTTCAATAATAAATACTAAATTTCATTGTACAGTTGGCACACATGGCCCATTTGAGAGTTTTGATGCACATTGTAGGTTCATTTGAATTTTTTGACATAACAGTTTGTAATGGCACTGCAAACAATGTGAGACTGAAGAACTATGGTAACAATTCAGTCATTGTGAAATAAGTTTTCCATCTAAATGAGTATGTGTTACAGGGAAAACCATCAGTGTAATTTGTCCAAGCAACAAGTTTCCTGGTAGGTAGGTAGCTACAGTAAAAATAATGTCTGGTTATAGAACATCACACCTGTATTGCTGGGGTTCCTGTAGCCACTGTTGCCTGTTTCTGTACCACAGTGGTCCCCGTTGGTTCCTTTTTTACCGCTACACCAGCTGTGACAGCTGTTGCAGTATTTGCTGCAGGTCCTGCAGATGCTGTGACTGGAGCAGCAGTTGGCATTTTGACTGTGACAATAGTTGCTGGTGTTGGTTTTATGAGTGTTGATACAGCTGACTGAGAGATTGTTCGAGCTACAACTGGATTGGCACGAACCTGAGCATGCTGCTAAAAGATAAAACAAGTAATTTTAGAGGCATTGGTCAGAGCACAGGGACACAATGTATTAACACTGGTTAGCCTGATAGACTCGGGATTGAAATGTCCATGTTAGACACCAGACCAGATCATTGCATTGTGTCTTGGGCGGAACTGGGTACCTGAAAACTGCCAAAGAAATTTGATGAAATGCTATTAGGTAATCTGTCATTGGAACTAGCATCCTATCCAGGTAGGAATGGCAATACTTTTAGTCGTTTCAGGCTCTGCAAACCCACATAATCTTCCACAATACAAGCCACAAATTTCAGAAGCAGACTTGACTTAGTGCAGGCACATAAGGAACCCTGTTTCATTAAGCCTTTAACTCCTGCGAGTGACCAAAACAGAATTTCTCCTTACAGTATTTATACAATTTATCAACCAGATAAGTGATGAGAATAAAGAATGAGATCAATGTGGGGATAATTAGTTGATCCAATTCTAAATTCTCTGAACTAACATTATAAGAATTGTATGGTTGACAGTAAAGGGAATTACAAATTTGATCTGGGAGTAAAAGAGTGAAAACTTTCTTCATCACCTTTTTCTGTGTCTTGACTTTGTAGTTTGTTGAGGTGAGACAATAGCGGTCAGGTGGTAGCCGTAAACCACTCTTTGTCTGAATCTGAGGTAAAGGGTGTCGATTCTTCTGCCGTGCAATCTCAATCAGAAACTGATAAGAGAAATTAATATAACTTATGTAACTTTCCTTAGATAGAGGGGTAAAAAGTTATGATAAGTGCTAAGGACCCTAACATTTATGCTAAGAGATAAGCTGGATGAAGGCCTAAGCAGTTTCATGGTGACTCCCTTCTGATGTATCAGTCTATTTAGTGCATCCTGAATGACAACTACTGACACAATTTAAGACCGCCAAAATATGGATGAGGATGGGAATTCCCTTCCTGACAGACTTGAAGATGTTTTAAAAGTATCTGGAATTTGAAGGTTAACATTTATGAGTGCAGTTCCGCAGAGGTACACAACTTTAGGACTTGCTTAATAGGAGATTGGAAAAAGGGAAAAATGTCATGAAAAAAAAGGTGGGGGCACATAGTACACAAAAAGTGTTGTTTCTTTGTTTAATGTTTGACAAAAACTTTTTTAAGGTGTAATATTTTTGCTAGGAACACAAAATTTTAATTCATAACTTCACATGTACATCCTCCCCACCCCTAATAGAGAGTATCCATGGAATGTTATATTTTGGCAAAGATATAGTGAAATAAGCAGCTATGGTGTAGGTCTCTTACATCTTGTACTCAAAAAAAGGAAACAGGAACAGAATGAGCTGTGCATCTCAAAACATACCTCTCTAGGTGGAGGATTAGTATAAGAATGGTCCAGTCTGGACTGGATGGCTAACTGCACATCTTCTGCATCAAGATCTTTCTTGCCAGCATGTTTACTGTAAACCATAGCATCCTCTAACACTGTTGTAATGTAACCTGTAGGCAGATTCAAAATATTTTGTCTCTAACTTGTGTCCACTTTATATTAAAGTTCCACTTAAATTCATGAAAATAATTTATGACCCTACAAAAGCGACACTGAAAACTACCGAGAATGAGCAAACTGCAGCTCATTCTCACAATCGAGTCACATTATCCTAAAAAAAAAGATCATAATGGTTGACCAAAGTATAAAAAAGAGAGTATAATTTTGATCTGAAACCAAATCCTTTTAGTTGATGTACAACGAAAGGTGTAAAAGTTGACAGGATAATTATTAATCAGATCCTGAGTTTAAGGTAAAAAATTAGCTATGACACTTTTGCCACCACTATTTCAATTCAACATTGCTTAAATTGAACAAAAAATATATCAATAGAAACAGATGCCCTTGTCCCTGAAGTGGATCACATCTGAAAATGTTAGTGACAGTTTAAACTCACGGTATGTGTATTCTAGCATTTGGTTGATAACTCTTGGCTCGTATTCGCTGATTCCCATCTCTTTTAGAATGGCAGCCATGACCAAGGCATCTTTTGGTGTGCTTTTTGCAGGTAAAGAACCTTCTGCCTGTTCATTGGTATCTGTTTTGTCCGCCATGATGTTTTCATTAATACCACTACATGACAGTTACACCACAATCAAAACTATTTATGAGGCATACCGCTGTTCAACTCCAATCGAGACAAAATGGCGGCTGCATTTCCTTCTGAAAGAAGCACGAAAGATGTAATAAATTCGATATTAGATGATTATGAAAAATTAACCAAGTACGTTGCTTGTTATACCATTTTCTTAAATCAGTTATTCTGCGTCATTTCTAATGCGATGAGTTCTGTTCTTTAAAATATCAGGGTTGTTTATAATCGCGACAGATGTTGATTAATGCTTAGTTTCATCCGCTTTTGTATGTAGAGAATTATTCGAAAGTTTGTCTGCAACTTCATTGTATCGAACAACAAAGCAAGATGCTAATTCAGGAGAAACAGCAAAGGTAAGCTATTTTATTAAGGTTAAACTTTGTCAGACGCAATCACGAAGGACAAGGGAAGGTCATCAGTGAATTTAAATTTTTGTTACTTTGCCTTTTCGGCGCAGGCCGTCGATCAACTTATTTCCAAGGAGAAAGAACTGCAAGCAGCTATCGAGAAAGTTCAGGAGCAGCAAGCACGACAACAGGAAATCCAAACTGTGAGGGAAGAAATATCAAAGAAAGATCGGGAAATACTTAACCTTGAATCCCAGCTAAAGGAAGCTGAAAAAATATTGGTAGGTAAAGACACAGGTGTAAAGAAATAGTGTTGTATAATAGAACATGATACTGAGAATGACAATGATCTGTCTTGTGTTTCAACTAAGTCCTTGAGAGCTTGCCTGTAGTTTTTTTGCATCCATGTTTACCTGCAGTCAGCATTTGTTATAATTTTGTCAAAAAGGGTAGTAGCCCATCTCCCCCTGGTCACTACTCTTTACTCGCCACTGACCCAAATGGCACACTCTTTGAAAATATAAAAAAATAGGGACACTTACATCATTTGGTTATATTTAGTCCCAGGCATTATTTCAAGCAAAGAAAAAGTTGTCTGCCATTAATCAGGCCAGTAAAGGTAAATGGAAAGGATTATTTCAACTTTAGAGATCTTTCTAGTTTTTTTTGTAACTATTTATTTATTATTCTGTGTCAGGCAGGGTTCAAGGGATTGGGTACGTAAGAGAGAGAATAGAAATGAGTATGGATATTGACAGGAAAATCTGAACAAAAGTGAATTGCCCCCCTTGGCTCATGAGATAGCAAACTAGTGTCAGAGTTAGAGCCCTCTTTTTCATATGTCCATGTCATTGCTAAAGCTTTCAACTGTTTCTTCAAATTTGAATTTGTAGTAACAGATAGAAAAATAGTAACAGAAGAATGAAATTATCAATTTCTATACCATGAAAAGTTTTTTAACCCTTTAACTTCCAGAAGTGATTGACATGAAACTTCTCCCTATCATATTCATAAATAATCTGGCAAACAAGTAATGAGAGTACTCAAATGTATCAGGTAGAAGTCTTTATCCTGATCAAACACTTTATTCTCATAACTTATTTACAAGGAAATGTGTAGCAGCTAGAGGTGAGAATTAACAATCAGATCTTGGGAGTTAAAGGGTTAAAAATATAATTGCCCCTTTTATCTTCTCCTCCCCCTCTCAAAAATAGAAAAATATTAACACACGAAAATTTCTGAAAAAGAAGCCTCTTCTTTTGCATGACTGATATGATCTTTCATTTTGATAAGGAATGGTTTCATCTGAAGACCTTATCAAGTATGCTCATCGAATCAGCAGCAGCAACGCTGTGGAGGCCCCAGTATCATGGATGCCAGGTTTGTTTAGTCATGCTTCTCAATAGATTAATTTCCTTTTGTTCTATTTCTTGTAAGACCATTGGGAAGAATTTAGTTCTTTCATTGTTTACATTAAATCTGTCATCTGAATGCTAACGCTCTAAAGTTTTTTTCCTGTTAACTTATCAATGTCCTTTTCTTTCTTGCTCTTGGTGTTTGAGAAACTTAGTTGGTAATCTGAAGGTCATACAATGCTTATCTTGCAGATGTGATATTTTTAGTTATCTAGTCCTTCCATGATTTGGTATGAAATTAACAACTGCATGATAAATTTATTGATGTAACATCCAGAGCTTATCTAAGAATGCAAAACAATGACCTTTCCAAGGCTCAGCCTCAAGACTTTTTATTTAATGTTCAGCTCAAAAGACCACCTCAGATGGCTAATTATATTTACCCATCCTGATGTATCACACAGGTGACCCACGGAGACCATATCCTCAAGATATTGAGATGCGATCTGGCTGGCTAGGGAAACTCATGGAAGGTGTGCCTGGTGAAACTGAAGGACCTGGGGCTGATCGTTCAGCTCCTCAGGAAGTGGTCCAGTCGTCTGCCTCTGCATCACAGATGCTGCAGCCTACTGGTGGACTGGGTAAGATTGAATAAAAATTGCACTCAAGGGAATTCATTTTCTATTTTTGTAATTCTATCAGTACATTTGTTGGTTTCATTAAATAGTTATAAATAACTGAGATTGACTTTTCCATTCTTTCTATAAGGCCTCACAAATGGTCAAGCAGCAGCATTTTCCTGGCAAAGCCAGCTTCCAGGAGTGCAGTCTGGACCTTTACAGGTGAAAAATGATTGTCTTGATATAATTTTTAATTATCCAAGTTTAAATGTGGGAATTACAACCATAATAATGTTGTGGATATTTGATCTTAATAAAGCTTGTAAATATTATTTTTCTCTTGAGTGAGTAGACTTAGGAAGCATAACAGTCTCCTCTTTGGTGCTGTCAATACATAAACAAACTGAGTAAAAATGAACACTTATCACTACCAATCCAGACTGCTGGGAGGCCAACAAGTTGGTCATTTACAAAGTGTGGCAGAGATGTTGAAGCCAAGACATCCTAGAAATGAGTCCAACTGAGTGTTAGAGTGAAGAATGTGAACCTTAGATCAGCAGTTCTTAAACATAGGATCCTAAATCACTTTTTTCATGCTTCCTGTATCTGAAAATTGCAGTTACAATACTCAGTCATCTCATTCTACTAAACCTTTGATAAGCCAAGGGCTTGTTGGGAGTGAAGGGAAGGGGGGAGCAGTTTGACCAAAATAAATGTTTTTACTCATTAACTTATTTTTATTTCCCTGAAAATTTTTTTTTTCACAGCAAGATGCATCTTCCAGTTTGGATATCCTAACAAACAATCTGACAAAGGAAGTGACCAATGGTAGACAAGAACAAGGTGTGGATGAAGTAGAGTTCATGTCATCATCATCATCATCATCTTCCAGCGACAGCCCATAACAGCTGACTCTGTAAATTATAGCTTAAAATAAATGTATTAAGGACATTTTCAAAGTTGTGGCTATTTAATGAAGAGCTGATAATGATTTATTGCCTTGCTGAGCTGCTTAGATCTAAACTTAAATTTTTCTTCATCTTTACAGTATGACTGTGTCTTGTTTGATTTATTTTATCATGTTCAGGACTCTGATTAAAACAAGAGTCAGTTATTGCTCTGTTAGTTCGGTGGAATTGGAACTGAAGTATTGAATAATTGTATATAGCTCATTTAGCTCTGAACTTCGACTTCATGTGCAATGCGTTTTCAGTTACCAACTGAGTTAGAACGTACGCAAATGAAAAAATTTAATTTAGTACGTTTGAATGCCATGAAGTGGTCACATGGCTAAGGAAGGTAAAATTACTGGTTTTTAAAGATCCGCCGTAAGACTTGCCGTGATTTGTTTTTATTTTAAGGCCGCGGAAATCTTTAACAGTACGTGTAGATGTCGATGGTAATAATTTTCATTTTCAGCTTTTAAAATCAGAAAACTAATAAAATCATGAACCTATTGTATTGCCAAACTCCTTAAAGAGTTCGTTGTGGCTCAGTTGATGTAGCAGCCGACTGTGAAATCGGACTTGCACAGGGACTCTGACTCATTATTTCATCCTCACAGGAAATATAGATGTGTAGGAATTTCTTTAAGACAAAATCCACGTGCATAAAAAAAAGCAGTACAAAGCGACTTACATTTAAAGTTTTGTTAGTTTTCAAACAATGGCTCTAAGTCAACAAAGCTTTTAAATTTTCCACGTGTTTACGGTTGGCTCGGAAATTGTAATTAATTTTTCATGAATCGTTGAAAACCGGGAATCTTTTATGCATAGAATTTCATATAAGTGCAGAGGAACCTTTCTACATTATCCGTCTGCAGAACTCGGAAATAATTACGATATAGTTAAAAGGACTTAAAAGGTGTTGAAACAAATCCCCTTTATTCTATATTTATGGTGTGACTTTGCATAAGTGCTTGTTACCAAGTTAAGAATTGACATACGAGTGAAGTTTTCACAGACACGTAACCAACACAAGTAGTACTCTTCTTAAACTCCCGAAAAGCAAATGTGTACATACCTGCGTTTGTATGAGTAACTGCCATGGGTCACGAAGTGTTTCTACTTCTTTCTGATTGGCTGAACAGACCGATATTTTGGCAAGGACTGGATAGTACTTTGTTATGTGATGCCTTGGAGGTAACAAATAAAAAAGTTATTACATTGAGTCTCTTGGTATTCAGACAAAACCTGCTTAAATTTAGGTAATTCAAATAGAAAGTGACACGGTTTTGTTACTTTTTGTTAATTGTTTCTTTTTTTTTTACTATGAATATGTAAAAATCATATAGGCCCAACCAACGCAGCACCACAGTTTCTTTAAAAAACCTTACTCTCTTTATTCATTATGTTTTGTTACTGGTCTACGTTATGACTTTATCAACCGTTTTTCTAGTTTTCTGGAAAACTTCCGCTGTCGTTGTGTACATGCCAAGTTAAATTGTCAACAATTTTTAAGTATTCTGTGAACTACAAACAGTTAAAAATACCCGCTGGCATGAACGAAACGTATGCTCGCCCGCACAAAATTCTCCAAAACATCATGCAAGAAATGTAGCGATTTTTTAGGCAACATTTACATCTTATACTGACACACTCCTGAAAAAACCGTTGTTATGTCTATCAAAATCTTTGTGCTCTCCTAATCAAAGGCTGAGATCCCACTGAGCGGAGGCTAGGAGAATATTACTTGTGTCAGTTTTTCAAATTACTCGAGTGATGCAGACACGAAACTCACCCTGCCCTACAAACACACGTGCTACGATACAGAATGAGGTGGGTAGCATTTCAAGTGTTTATTAGCTTGAGAATTTTCATTTAAAACTAAGAATCGGTTCTTGTATTTTGAAGTTGTTTGGTAAACTTGAATGATTATGTCGAGGAAAATGACTCCCTGAGGTGACTGATTTATTACTTGTCAAATCTGTAGATTTTTTACTATTATTAGATCTATATGTGGCAAGCACGGCAGCCTGTTACTATCACAGTTTGTCAAGTAAAATCACTCTCTTTTATTCAAATTTGTTCTCTGTGGGGAAGAAGGTGACCCAGACACTAAACATTTTAACCCTTTCAAAGGACACAGTCGACTCGTCTTTAGCACGTGCGAGGCGACAGGTTATTGAAATTAACTTACCTTACAATGGAAACCCTTTCATCTGATGGCCGAATGAATTCCTTGGTGGTCAGATTGAATTAATTATCTTATGGTATGTTAACAAGTTGCTCCACCCTCCCGCGTTAGAGAAGATCAGAACCATTGCATTTTTTAAAGTAATTTAAAATTTGTTATCTTGTCAGTGCGAGCTCGAGAAGAGTTTTTTTTTCCTTTGTTAAAAGGTCCGCTATATTTCTTTCTAACTGAAATAATGTTTATAAATGAGAATTCAAAATCACATTTGAATAACGATCCGTAAACAACAGGAACCACGCTGATACAACGTTTTCTAATTTTTTCTTCCATAAATTTTTTACTTTACTTTTTCCCGTAATGGAAGTATCGACACGCTAATACAACCTACGCACTATTTTTAATCTTCTTTGTGAGTTCGTTCTAAGAACAAACCCTCTTCAGCGACTGATGAATTTTAAAGTAATTCAAATCAGACTCTTTTTTTAAACTAAAATTCTATTGTATGGAAAGTTAATGGCTGATTATAACAGAACAGCTACGTCTGACTTAAAAGCCATTCAATCTTTTGTTTTAAGTGATCACTTGGATTAGCCACAACACGTCATTTAAATCTCTTCGTTTTATTGCAAGATAAATCTTTAGGTTTTTTTACTTTTTTGTCCAATTAAACTTGATCTTATTAGGTGCTGGATATTATTTTATTTTTTCGATTTTTGTGCGCGTGTTATTGGTCAGAAGAGAATTGAACGCGCGTGGGATGGGCCACTTGACTGGCAGGCACTGCCCCCGGAATGGTCTCTCACCCACGCAATCGACAGGTTATGACTGCGCGCGCTCGTTAGAAATTCGCCAATATATGGCGCACAACGTCAAAATCGGGACAGAAAAAAAATCGTATTTTGGCAAATGATTTCCGCGCAGTCAAGGAACAATTTTTTTTCGCTTTAAATAGAACCAAGGTCTTTGAAAAATGTGTCAAATCGTTCTTGAAACGATTTAAAGTTTCGAATTGACCATGGCATCCCAGAGACTAGATATTTTCAGTTTTAACGTGATTGTCTTCGAAAAGGAGCCACCGCGTGTTGCCGGCTCTGTCAGCAGTTTGATCACATCTCTACCATAAAAACACCCGATTCTCTAAAGCAGGCGATTGCAAGTGGATTATTCTTTGCAAGGCTTCGATTAATCTAACAGCTTGGTAAGTATAAAAGGTAACAACTGCAATTATATTTTTTAAGTACAAACCTTAGAGTGTGCGATCGAGAAAGATTTTGTTATTTATGTCTGTAGTCACTTCCTGTTTCCTTCAACACTTCGTGCCAATTTTTTTTGGTCTCTCCTTAAGAATTCGACATTTTTCAATTGCGATAAAACTTTCAACCTCGCACAGAAATCCCAGAGTATATTTCTCGTCACGTCTTACCTTCAGTAAAATCTTACTTGAGTTTATGCTAGCCATGCTGACGTGTTACAAAAACGACCCTTACTCTTCTTAATACGATGAACTTTGATCGGTTTTTTTTTTTTAATAAATTGCACAGGAGAATGCTTTAATATTCAATATTTCTAGAAACACCCCACTGTTTCAAAATTTAACTCAATGATTCGGATTTTTAAGCTTTGCGTGCGGCCAATGCACTCTTTCATGGCTTTTCGTTGGAAATTTTAACTCCACAATTTTCTTGAGCAAGTCAATATAAAAAGAAAATATGACGCTGTATGAAACCAGTTAAAAAAATACTACATGGACAAAAATATTTCAATTTAAAATTTTCTTTCTTGCATTCGTTTAAAAGAGGCTGTTCTTCTCATATTTCCTCTACCAAAATAGCTTTATTGATTCTCTCGATGCTTTGTAAATTCTAACACCTACACAGACAGACAAGAATGGTAATTGAATTGGTTTGCTTCTTCACTGAGTCTCATAATTAATAATCCTAGTAGAATTTTTGCATACGAATCACACATCAAACCATCAAACCCGGAATTTTCAAGCCAAGAAACTACTCAGCATTCTTTTTTATGCTAGTAGTTTTCACCGCTTTTCTCTGACCGATTATATAGAGACACATTCTGCACATACTGCCTGTGATCAAGTTAAATCTGTGCTTTTGTCAGTTTAGTATTTGAGCAAATAACTCAGACGAAAAAAGCCTTCAAGAAAAACATAGCTTATGTATACGTGTTACATCAATAATTCCTCAAATATCCATTGTCTCAACAGAATGAATTCAGCGATCGCTTTGATAAATGAATTGCACTTGTCGTTATGTTAATTTACGAGAAACTCTATGAGTAGTTTTATTTTCCAATTATTGAATTCTGCTGCGTCGGCGGAAAATGTGCAACACGTCTTCATTTGCGTGGATTAAGTTAAAATAACCATTTTTACACAAACACTTGATGACCTTGAATAACAGAAAAGGTTGTACTCTTTCTTCTTCTTCAAACAGTCTACACACTAAACCGGAATTCATGCTGACAAAAGGAAAATAAAACCTCTTCATCTTGCATCGGGCAAACGTAGACAGAGTCCAATTTAACGTTCGCGTGCATAAGTGAAGTCGAAGAATATTTATTTCATTTTCAATCTATACAGCGGGTAATGATAAAATCTTGTTTCTTATTCATAGCGTCTCCCTGCTTTTTCGAGTCAAAGAAACTTTCCCATTCAATGTATCCACATCTAAATTTTTTAAATATATTTAACAATACGAGGCTTTAGGTGAAAAATCGAAGAAAATCAATAAGTTCAGTCATGTGATCTGTCAATTTGTAAACCAAAATCATGCAACAGAAACGTTCCTGATGCGTGTGAAGACGAAATTTGTGATTCTTAAACTCCTAAGGGTTTGTCTCAAAGCATCGCAAATTAGATGGCAAATTCGTTGTTTTTGAACTAACTCCATATCTGAGTGTATTGAAGAGTTCAGTACATGAAAATGAGAACAAAAAATTTGGAGAGGGAAGGACTTTTCCTCTTTCGAACTGAATGTAGCGA